CCCCTCTCTCTCTCTCTCTCTCTCTCTCTCTCTCTCTCTCTCTCTCTCTCTTTTCCTCGGGACAGGGTCTTGCTATGTAGCCCTTGCTGTCCTAGAACTCATCATACAGACCAGGCTCCTGGCCTCGAACTCACAGAGATCCTCCTGCCTCTACCTCTCAAGTGCTGGAATTAAAGGTGTGTGCCAGTTACCTTGGGGGTTTTATTTTGTTTTTGTCCTTTTTGTTATTTTGCTTCCCCCCCCCCACCCCAGAACTAAGAACTGAGTAAGCACTCTGCCACTGAGCTAAATCCCCAAACCCTCATTTTTCTTATTAGTCCCTCATCTTTTTTTAAAGATTTATTTATTTATTATGTATACAACATTCTGCCTCGATGTATGCCCGCACGCCAGAGCAGGGCGCCAGATCTCAGTACAGATGAGTGGCAGGCAGTTGTGGGCTCTCTGATGTGGGTGCTAGGATCTGAACTCAGGTCCTCTGGAAAACTGGCAAGTGCTCCCAATCTCTGAGCAATCTCTCCAGCCCCTCTTATTTAATTTATTGGTTAGGCAACCTTAGACTCACACTGCTCTCCTGAACACTGATTTTCATATATGCAGACTGAGAATGCTCTCTTTCTCTTGCAGGTAACATTGCACTTAAAGGTACTGCTGGCCTGAAATCAGGCTTAATAAGTAGCAACTCTTCTACTAATGCAATCCTATGTCTGAGCCCCACCAGGACCCCAGTCGTGACCGGCTGGGGTGTGACGCTCTCACCTATGTTGATGGCCTCATACACATACTCAGGATCGTGCATGAGGTCACACAGAGCCACTAGGGCTTTCTGCCTTGTCAGGAGAGTCTCTGATCGCAGCTCTTCATTAAGCTTGGGCAAGGCCCGACAGCCATAAGCAATGGCAGCCTTCGTGGGGTCGATGTCGGGAGGCATGTACATGGAGATCCGGGCATGAGCCATCTTTCCACGCCTGCCAAAGGGCTTTGAAAGCGAAGCTCTGTAGAAACCACCAATAAGAGAAAAAATAAATAAAAACCTGTTGTTATTACTGTTATTGTGTAGAAGCCAGCCATCTCAGCCTCAAAACTGCCTATGAAGACAATCATGGGTGGATCCTCTCACCTCAATTTACAGACAAGCAAACAGGCTGACGCGATGTCTCAAGGTCACAGCTCAGGTAAGTAACCCAAACTGCAAATCTCCATCCTTAATGACAGAAGGAACTGCTTGGGATACTTAATAGATAGTACACTGGTCACAGGCCCAAGAAAAACAGAGGCCAACCAAGCAAAACCCAAGATGGTCTCTCCTTCGATGTCCCTGCTTAACTGGTACCTAACTGGCATCTAACTCAACCACTCAATAAAGAGTCGTTCACGTTTAGAAGTAAGGAAACATGTTGGCTAGGACTTAACGAAAAAAGAAGCTTTTCAAACACGTCTTGCTCCTTCATATATAAGACACGTTTTCACATGCGTAGGACATATTCCCAAGAAGGGATGAAGGTTAAAGGATGATTTATTATAATCTCCCCGCACCCAGTACCCACACAGTCACTCTTTGAACAACTGTAGGCAGTGTGGCCTCGGGGTTAGGAATGGGATACAGTCCCAGGCTACGGGTTCCCCTTGACACGTCATTCCTTCTGCGTGTTGTCTGTGCAGTTTGAGAAATCGGGTAATAAGAGTGCTTCCTTCTTGCCCTGCCAGCATTGTCGTTTAACTGAGACCCAGGAGCCTGGCTGACAAGAACTTGAAATATATTGTGTTGATTGTCCTGATCATATTGCATTTAGCGGCAGGAGCAGGACTCGGTTCTGAAGTTAATGACAAGCCAGACTCTGGTACCAGCCCCCAAGGGCAGGAAACGGGCCAGGCTGGGAAGGTGGCAGCCATCTCTGAAATGGGCTCCACTCCAGGAAATCATGGTCTCCAAGACAGGGGCTGGCCTCCTGTAAGGGGCACACAGACGCCACTACAAGAATCCGACCGCCAGTGAAAAGGCGAGACCCAGCGTGTGGGGGCGTGAGCCCCGTGTGAACGGAACTGGGTAGGTCAGGAAGCCCCCCATGCCCTGTGCGGGGCACCTACCCGCTGCAGCTGCCTTACTTGCTTTAGTGCCTGTTGTCTCCTTGTGTCTGCCAGCCGGAATGCTCATTCTAGTCCCAGGCGACCTGGTTGCTAGGAGACTGCCAGCGTCTGCAGCTTCCTGGTCATCCCCCTAGAGGGCCAAGGCGCAGGCGCAAAAAGCCTGAGGCTAAACACAGCCAGGAATGGAAGGACAATATTTTACAATGTTACTATGTAAAACAAAGACAGCTCGCTTTTGTGGTACCGATGGGAATGGAAAGGATTTACACACTTCTTTTCCCAGTGTTCTTTGCATGCTTTGGGTCATCAGAGTTCAGAGTTCATGCATGATAAGGCTAAGAATCTCAAAGAGATTTAGTTGCTTCCCCCACAATTACACAGACCTGTCCCCCGAACTGCCTAGTCAGGGCCCACATTTCTGCAAGCTGATCACTCTGTCATACTGTCTGGAGTGGTTGCCCAAACAGCACTGGCTTAACATCCCCCTGTGGCTCCCCAGTGGACTCTGTCCTGAGTCCAAACCCCTAACCTGAGACAGAAGGTGGTGGTGTATTCCTTTATTACCTTTGCATGGGAGGTAGACACGCACTATAGCCAGACCCCACTTGATCCCCTCCCACATACATACAACATGCTGAAATCCTGCCTAGCATGCTACACGCAGGATAGCAGGCCCAGCCTAACTTCCCTAACATACACACAACATATGGAGACTGCATAAACACACACACACACACACACACACACACACCCTAAAACCTTGCACAAACTCAAACACACACAATATAACAAGACCCTGTCTGGTCATCTGTAGACATGACTCAGTAAGACCCTAAACCCCTAACAGAGCAAGACCTTGCCTGTACCTGTTTCGTTTGTTGTCTCTCTGTGCCAGACATACGCCAAGAAGCGTAAACGCAGAAAGAGTGGCTGATGGTCTTGAATGAAGAGTTACAATCTAAAAGCCTCTTCTACAGTTCACAGATCACCGAATGCAGAAGCAGCTTGAGCTGAGAACAACTTTGGTTTGCTTTAGAATTTCAGGAGGTCCAGCCCATGGATGCTTGACAAACTATGACAGTGGGAACCCATGAAGCAGGAGGTGGGGAGGGGCGTACCAGGGAGAATAGATTTCTACGGGCTTGCCCACAGTGACCTGGTTCCCCGCCCCCCAGTCTCAAGCTTCCACCAGCTGGGGACCAAGCGTTTCAAACACAAGCCTGGGGAAGACAGTTTATATCACTGGTTCCCAACCTTCCTAACGCTGCGACCCTTTAACAGAGTTCCTCATGCTGTGGTGACCCCCCCCAGCCATAAAATCATTTCTGTTCCTACTTCATAACTAATTTTGCTGCTGTTATGAATCTTAATGTAAAATCTGCGTTTTCCAACAGACTTAGGTGACCCCTGTGAAAAGGTTGTCTGAGCCTGCCTAAGGGGGTCGCTGATTTATAGTCGGGTCACAAAACTCCGGGAAAACCCTCTAGTTTCCCTTGTTCTTCATTGACGAAAATGATGCATATTTGGACGAGTTGATAGTTTTCTCATTGGTATGACCAATTAACCTGACCAAAAAAAAATTGAGGGATTTATTTATTCCAGCTCATATATTGGAGTCCATCACAGTGAGGAAGATAAGATGGGTGCGGTAACTCCCAGCTGTGACTCCTCCCCCTCTCCTAACTTGATAGAACAGGAAGCAGGTAGGGGTGGCGAAGGCTGGTGCCCAACTGGTACTCCAGTCCTATTTATGGTGGGTATTCTCTTCGCAGTCAAACCTCTCTGGAAACATCCTTCCAGACACACTCAGAGCTGTCTACCTAGGGGTAAGGCTAAATCCTGTCAACAATGATGTTTAAATATCACATATTTAATATGGTCTTCCACTGTCTTGCTGTGGAGAACACCTCTGGATATGGCTTATAATAACACGTGTCTAGATTACTTTTCAAGGATCTGAAGGCTCCTATTGATGAAGACTGCTCACTGGGGTCTATTGACATCTGATGGACGACTGGGAAGGGATGAGAAGATGGGGCAGCCTTATCCTTTTCAATGACATTCTCTCTGTCCCTGCATGGAGGCTGATTTTTGGAGCTGGATTTCTGCCTTCCTGATCTTTAATTAGCTGCTATGACTTAAACGCCTAGGGTCCCGTAGTTACCACCCCCACCCTCATGTTCTTAAGAACATAAATACACTTGGCACATGGTGCATGCCTATTATCCTATCACATGGGTGAAAGGGGCAACGGGATCAGGAGTTCATGCCCATTATCATGGAAAATTTGAGATCCACCTAGACTACACGAGGGCTTGCCACAAACAATTCACCTCATTGAGCTCTGTCGGCATGGCAACAACCACCTGCATCTTACCCATCCTGGCAAACAGATACAGGCCGGTGTCTCGTCTTGTTGGGGGGATGATCTGTCAGTCCCGTCCCACTTCCACTCCCTAGCCATAGACCCCTTAAAGTCTTGCCTGCCAAACCTGAACATACCCACGTCTGCTTTCTATTGCATCTATGCAAAAAAAAAAAAAAAAAAAAAAAAAAAAAAAAAAAAAAAAAGCACCCAGGTCTCCAGCAATGTCATCCTCACAAGAAAGCCTTAACAATGACCCCGGTGGGCTGGGCGATGGTGGCGCACGCCTTTAATCCCAGCATTCAGGAGGCAGAGGCAGGTGGATCTCTGTGAGTTCGAGACCAGCCTGGTCTTCATGAGCTAGTTCCAGGACAGGCTCCAAAGCCACAGAGAAACCTTGTCTCAAAAAACCAAAAAAAAAAAAAAAAAAAAAAACCAATGACCCCGGTGGGCCATTTAATAGCTGAGTATACTGAGGTTTGGAGGTGTTAAGACCCTTTGAGACCGAAGCCTTAGCCGTGAAACTGCTTAAGCAAGACATCAAGCAGAAGCATCAGTCTCCAGGGCATGTCCTGTTGCATTAAAGAGGACAGCAATAGATCTACCAAGGGTTCCATCCTACACTTAGAAGTCTACCTGCGGCTGTCCTTCAGAGGATCGAGTCCTAAAGGGTCTCTCGAACCAGACTGCCCTAGTTTTATTTCAGGAACGTGTGGTGAACACCCCTGGGCTGGGAGTCAGAAAATCTGGGTTCAAGTCGATTTCTAACTCACTAGGCAAATCTTTTGGAATGAGACTTGGAGGGGGTAGGGGGTGTCTGGAAAGAGTTCTGACGCCCCTGGAATACATCCTGTACCCCACACCTCGCTTCCCAACAGAAACTAGCTTGAAGGAGCCCAGTAACTTGAGTCAGCTTTTTAAACATCCATTAATGGAGGAAATTAATTTTTCAGCGTGAGTGCCAGAAGCCAGGCACATGATTTCCAAATCGCATTAAATTCAAACTGATGCAGTAAGGCAGATGGTAGGCATGAGCATGAGGTGGACCCTTCCCTTGCGGGGGGGAGGGGACGGACGCGGGCTTCAATCCAATACGAATACTTTTCAGGGGACTGTCACGACCCGGCCCACCAAGGTAGCCAGAGGAAACCTCGAGCTAACCCCTTCCTGCTCACCACCACCCAGACTCCATCCCGAAAGACCAGGCTCCACCCACTGGTCCCGCCTAATCATCAGCGCCCTGGTTGTCATGGTGAGCCTGGGCACTCCAGTGGAGTCCGGAAGTCTCTGAGCAGGCAGTGCAGAGCTCTGCGCCCCGGGAGGTTCTCGTTGCTATGGTGATGACTCCGCGCTGGCCCGGTGCCACCAGTTTCCACGGTCTGGAGGAGGGTCCAGACCCCGCCCCCGACGTCGGGATTCGAGAGCTGCGAGCCAGTCCCGCGAGGCCCTCGTTGCTGTAGTGATTTGCTGCAGCCCGCGCGCGCCGGAAGCTGGTCCCTGCAGCTTTGGTGAGTCCTCTCACCCTCCCGACTGGGGGCGCGTCCCGGAGGTTATGGTCCTGAGGCTTCCCTGTCCCCGGCCCTCCTCCTACCCCCAAACCTGAGTGTGGCCTGCAGGCCTGCTCTTCCTCACTGAGGGTCCCTTGCGGGCCAGGCCTCTGCGAGAGCCGGATCAGATGAGGAGGACAAATAGCCTTTAAGGGACCAGACTATGGGTGTTGTGGGGGACCGTCAGTAAAAGGGGGGCCGGAACCTAAAGTCCGCATACCACTCGGTAGCTCCATCTTAAAACACACTAAGAGCAGGAGACCGCTCCCCACTATAGTTCCGCTACCTAGGCTGTGATCCACAGCCAGGTTTTTTTCATACCTCCCTCAGGTCAAGGAAATGAGCCCAGAGAAGGAGCCCCCTCTTCCTAGACACTCACATCTTGCCTCTGGGCAAGGTGGGGTACGGGTTGCTCCTTCACTGTGGTCCCTACAGATTGAATAGGCTCTGCCTAATACTGCTTATAGGGATGGAGGCCGAGATGTGTTTTTAACGTGATGAAAAGTGATGATGAAACTCACAGGTGCGTTTTGAGGACTTCTATGGCTTTGCAATTCTTGTCAAAATACAAATGTAAGAAATTTAGTCATAACTGACTTTGAACCTGGAATTGGGCAACACTTCATCGTGTAAAATAAAATGAGTGTTTTTGTTTGGTTTGGGCCTTTTTAGGACAGTTCTCATTGTCTCCCCAAGCACCCTGGAATTCACCATCCTCCTGCCTCTTGTTTCCCAAGTGCAGAGTGTATATTCCCGTGTTACTACTACACCTGACCAGGAGCTTGGTTTTATAGACAAAAAAAGAAAAGGAAGAAGAAACAAAGGCAAATGGGTAGTTCAGAGTTACTTACTTTATAGGATTATTCTTGCCGGCTCAGGTTGGCTGGTCCCCTTTGACTGCTGTGTATCTCTCGTTCTGTTAGGAAACTAGTCCAATCAGAATTCTGTTGATCACGTGGCACCTCGCATACTCGGTTCCGCTTTGATCTGCTGGGCCATTAAGCAGAAACTAAACCTCATATATTTACGTAATACTCTTTCCCCTTGACTCATTCTACAGAATACTGGAAGAATGAGGTCCTCTTGGACCTCTTTGGGGCCCCCTGTGAGCCAGGACCGCATCATCACCAGCTTCCCTAAGGTACCGTCATGAGAACACCTTTGCTGTTGCTTTTAGTTTCCTCTGGGTCTGGGTTGCTTTGACAAAAGGTCTTGACTGTCCAGGACAAGCCTGGAATTCACAAAGTGTCCCAGACTAGCCTTAAATGTGCAATCCTCCTGCCTCCAGCGCTGGGATGACAGGAGAGTGCCACCGTCCCCAGCCATTTTTGTCTCCACTACTGATGTAACCAGTCAGCCATATCCAGCTTCGTTAGCATGCCTTCACCCCCAGAAATCAAGAAAACCATAATCAGGACGCATTATTTTCAGTAAAAGAAAGAGAAAGGCCCTTGTCTTAGTTAGGGTTTCTATTGCTGTGAAGAGACACCGTGACCACAGTACTCTTATAGAGGAAAATATTTAATCGTGGTGGCTCCCTTACAGCTCAGAGGTTCAGCCCATTATCATCACAGTGGGCCATCTGTAGGCAGACATGGTGTTGGAGAGGTAGGTAAGTGTCCTACATCTTGGCCTGTAGGCCACAGGAAGGGGTCTGAAACACTGGGTGGTATCTCCAGCCTATATGAACCCTCAAAGCCTGCCTCTGTAGTGACAAACTTCCTCAAACATGGCCATACCTACACCAACAAGTCCAAACCTCCTAATAGTGCCACTCCCTTTGGGGACCGTTTTCTCTCAAACCACTGTAACCCTGTTACCCATCGTTGCTTCTGCGTGGCTTGAACAGGTGTGAAGGGAGACTTTTTGTGTCTTGGATTCTGCACCAGAGCCAGGAAGGAGGGAGGAGGTGGCTGTGAGCTGTGGGTGTTTCCGCCTGTAGCCATTGCTTCGTCCCCTTCCTTCATCTTTTCCTCTAACTCCTTTCTCAGACATTGACAGAGAACGCCTTTGTGCCTCAGATCTCGGAGAGGTCCCCCGGTTTTTTATTAGTGAGCTTGGGCCATTGCTTTCCCAATGGAGTGTAACCATGGTAACCAGGGAAGATTCAGGCTGGTGTCTCATGAGTTGAAGAGAAAGGAAATATAATCGGTGGGAGAGGGTGGGCAGGAGGGGCAGGCCCAGTCTCCTGGGACAAAAGACACAATTCACAGAGAAGGACATTGAGCCCCAGAGAGACATGGAAAACTGCTTGACATCAACACACTTGGGCATGGTGGAGCTAAGATTTGACCCAGCTGCCCTGGCAAGGGAGTCTGCCCAGGGAAGAAGATGAGCTTCCCCTAAAGCCCTCTACCTACAGCAGTCAGGGTCACAAGGCTACAGCTGGCCATGTCTGTCCTGCATCCCAGGGCCACTCCAGACCTGCAGACTTATTAACCACATCAGGCTGGGTCAGCGTGGTGCTTCCTGGGCGAGTTCTTTCTCTTGATTCTCTGTGCCTCGGTTTCCTTGTCTGAGAAATCGGCTCTCACTTCCTACCCCACAGCCTGTGGCATTGCCGGGACCAAGGAGCATTAAGGAGGCTGCAGGCCTCACATTTCGGGAGAGAATGAGGGTTAGGAAGAAGGTCTCACCCTCGATGCCCAGTTTGTGTTACCGAGATGCTGCATCGCAGGATGGTCTGCTTGCTTGCCTGCATGTCTGTCTGTCTGTCTTTCCCAGTGGTACACATCTGATGCCTGCCTGCAGCTCAAGGAGCACTTCCACAGCCAGGTCAGCACTGCCTGCCAGCACAGGAACACGGGCACTGCTGGGTAAGCCCATGGGACAAGGATGTGGAAGATGGAGGAAGAGGAGAAGCACAGAGGCGGGCATCAGTGAAAACTGAGCCAGCTGAATACACAGGCTGAACCCACGCCGCTTATTAGGGGGACTGTACAAACAATTTCCCTGCTTCTCAGAATGTCAGAAAGATGACTTTTCAGCTGAAGGGACGTTTCAGTGCAGGTCCATTTTCTCCCTGTCTGGACCAGCTATCTTCCTCTCATCCCTTCAGGTTTCTGTATTCCAGAGCCTGTGGGAGACTTCTCTGACCACCTACTGTCCCTGCCCCTGGCCCAGACTTTCCATAGGACCCTTCTTCTGTGCTCTGGAAATCCAGAATCTTTTTGTTTGTTTGTTTGTTTTGCATCCTGACCACAGTTTTCCTTCCTTCCTTTCCTCCCAGCCCCTCCCTCTACCTCCCCTCTATCCCACCCTCTTCCACTCCCCCTCTGTTTCTATTCAGAAAAGGGTGGGCCTCCCAAAGATAGCAACAAAACATGGCATATCAAGTTGCAGTAAGACTAGGCACCTCCCCTTGTATTAAGGCTGGATAAGGCAACCCAGTATGAGGAGTAGCATCCCAGAAGCAGGCTAAAGAGTCAGAGACAGCCCCTGCTCCCACAGTTAGGTGTCCCATAAGAAGTCCAAGTTACACAACTGTCACATATATGCAGAGGGCCCAGGTTAGTCCCATGTAGGCTCCCTGGTTGTTGGTTCAGTCTCTGTGAGCTCCTGTGATCTCAGGTTAGTTGATTCTTGGGTTTTCTTGTGATGTCCTTGACCTCACTGGCT